TCCGGTCTCATAACATTAGGACATAACTGAGAATTGTCTGCTATCTCATTCTGTGGTGTATATTCAAGGTTTGGCCTTTTACAATGGTTAAAAAAGGGTCTTTTTGAAAATCCATGAAATGCAGTGTACTGCACAAAATGATATCAGACAGAGGGTAGGAACAATACCGTGAACGAAATTTATTGAGAATCAGAAAATCAAATGGTTCGGTCATCTCGTGCATGAAAATGGCCAAGAAGAATATGGACTGATGTCATTAAAGACATTTTACATATGCACAGAAGGACAGAGGTACATATTGAGCACTAGATCGCAATTAATCCTTCCCACGTCAAAAGAGGGAAATTAATTACGAAAAGAGTTATGAGGGAATAACATCTGATGCATAAAAGTTAGAAAAATATATACGTTTGAGAGAGAAGGACAGAGACATAACAGAGATATGAACGGAATATGAGGCAAGAAGGTTACATGTGCAAGACGATAAAAGGAAGAATACAGTAAAATGAGAGGACGAAATTAGAGGGGGACCGAGAGAGAACAGGAATCATAATCATAGAATACAGAGAGATATGCGACAGACAGAAGAAAAAAGATAAGGATGTGTAAAAGTAAGTATAATAAAGATACATTAAAACAGACACGTGAAAGACAGCCGAGCTGAAGAAAAGTGGGTAAATGCAGGAAAAAAAAAAGAAAACGTGAGAGAACGATGAAGCACTTAAACTGTAAAAGACTTGCAAGCTCATGCCAGAATTCCTGTAGCAGTCAAACTCAGGCCAAACGAACGCATTATCTAACTAAATATTAAACGATTCCTTTCCTGTTTAACACGACGCACTAACCCGCCCTGTTTGTACAAGGAAATGAATCTTGGACATTTTTGCATTTCTATGGGTGGCTGTAAAAGGAAAGAATCCACAGAGCTCTGCAATGGCAAGTTTTACTCTTGTGGCGTGGCTGCCTGTTTGCCCGATGTAAATGAGGCTGGCGTGTAATTGTCCAAAGTGGCAAATGTATGATGTTATAGCTGAAAGAGTTTTTGTTTTCTCGAAACTACATATTGTCTGCTTACAAACCGTCTTTCAGATTTTCTTTTCGTTCCTCTATCCGCATGCCGTCGGCCTATCAGATTGTTTAACCCCCCCCCCCCCCCCCCCCCCCCTTACGCGACTTCCTTTTCGTGAGAAAAGATTTTCTCAGCCATGTTAGTAATAAAAACAAACAGATAAATGGAAGTGATGCTATTGCAGCGCATCCTCTGTCTGAAACAACGATTTTCTAACTTATAAGCAGTAGTAGGGGTCGCATTAGCCGAAAATTGTAGTTTTGTTACACAGGATTTAACGAATAAACTGCCATCTACATTTGTTTTCTATTTGTTATTTTGATACTTTTTACATGAACAACCGGATGGCTCTGGACAGGATACAAAATAATTATATCATGTACAAGTAGGAAGAAATAATAAAGTGGGAAGAATGGGAGGGAATCATTAATATTATAATTATTCACTTGAACAAGGCTTACATCCCTGAGCCTCCTCCCCCTAGAAAATGTGGAAATGCGCGCTCCCACAGTGTTTTCTTTGTGCCAGTGCTCTTGATCCTGGTTAAAACATTGAGTGAAAAATAACTTTGACGTGAGCCACCAACGCATGAAGAGTTAACAAAGCAGATGCTCAAACTGACTATTACAATGGTCAGTCAAACCATAGCTACAAGGAGACGTGTAGTAACATCAAGTTTCTGCTGCTGCTTCTTCTTCTTTTTCTTCTTCTTCTTTTTTTTTTTCTTTTTTTTCTTCTTCTTTTTTTCTTCTTCTTTTTCTTTTCTTCTTCTTCTTCTTCCGCTTCTTCTTCTTCTTCTTCTTCTTCTTCTTCTTCTTCTTCTTCTTCTTCTTCTTCTTCTTCTTCTTCTTCTTCTTCTTTTTCTTCTTCCTCTTCTTCTTCTTCTTCGCGTTCACTGGCTGTAAACTCTGGCGGAAAGTTCTGGTTGTTCCTCCACTTCTGGACTCTAGTTCTGCTATAGAAACTGAGTGTTGTGTGTACATCCGTTTCACATGTCTGATTCATGTGCATGCAAACTGTTGGTTCCTTGCCTCCCAGGCAAATATATTCCGACTTCGAAGAAAGCTCCCGGTTAGTCGACTCTTACGACATGCTTTTAGGCGGGCAGTGGATCTATTCTTGATTTCCAGACAATTATAAGTTACAGAAGTTTAAAGTTTGAACAACGGACCAACATCGTGGCACACAGTAAGCCATAAGTACTCCGTTCTTTCTTCTAACTCAAGAAGAAGCTCAGCACAGTTCACAGTCTCTGTAGCACCAGTGAGAATCCTGAAAAAGTTTGGGTAGATTTTTAACTCCAAATTTTGCCCGGGCAGCGCCGCTAGGCTACTCTTTTCGATTTCCAACTGCCAAGGGATTTTTTACGTGCGCAACAATGCACACGGGCGTCCGATCTCACTACCCAGAGACCAGGGGAAATACTAGAAGTCGAATTCCTCGTGAAAAAAAAAATCCTAGCCCTTCCTGTCTTTGACAGATCCTAAGACCTATGGACTTACCCGGGGTAGGTTGTTATAAAATCTCTCTCAAGTTACACGACATGAGCACCAAAAGACCACGGACACACAGAGCTGACAACCTACGCACGAAAGCAAACTGGCTTGACATTTTCTGTCGCCATGGATACTGGCAGAGAAATGGCGTGCCGGGGTGAATATCGCTATGATAGGTTGATTTGACAGCACGTGACACGTCGTTGCCCATAGCTGTCAAAGACCAAACACCTCTGCATTTTTATCCAACACGGCCGACACATCAAGGACGTTATTATTATTATTATTATTATTATTATTATTATTATTATTATTATTATTATTATTATTATTATATAAATGATTAGATTTATCATATTTTGTTGGACCCGAAATGATGATCCTTCTCCTAACATTTAAATTGTGCTCCATGTATATTTTTTCTTATAACCAGATTTGTTTAGATATCTTTATTGTACATCAAATGTCCCCAAAACTGAATACATGTGAAATGATTGAAATTAAACTTTACAGCTGACACTGACTTGACACAATCAACAATAACAACATTTTTCTCAAAGTGCTAGCGGGAAGAAGGAAATAGAAAAATACTAGAAAGCAGGAAGGTGAGGAAAAAGAAGATGTGGTTAGGACATTAAATAGTTCCCCGCTAAATAGCAAAACCAGGAAAAGTAAAGAAAATACAAGGATTCTTCTTGCAGGGGCCATGAAATATGATCATAGCCCTGGCAAAGTATATGTGAATAACTGTGTTTCACAACAATAATAACTTATACACGACTACAAATACGTAGCAACACAACATAAAGACCACTTGCACGAAACAGACCACGTGCTACTCAAGTCAACTACTATCTTGAATGCAGAGTATAATTCAAAAATCCTTGGGTTAATCATATACCATGATAATTCCAATTCAATTCGTCAACAAAAATTTCAAATTGATCCTATAGCCGCCCGGAGGCCTGCTATACGAAGAAGGCTTTAGTGTGTAGTAACACCTGATATTACGTTTTTTGCACTGCTTGTTTTGGTTCGGTGTGATCAGATCTCTTGTGATGATATCGACCTTAGCTGACTGTTGCTGGCGCTTGGCTTGCCTATGATCGGCTGTGCTGGTGCCCTGTTGCTGCTTGGTGCCGATCTGTAAGCCGCCGGAAAAAAGCCAAACAAACATCGGGCCGCATAAACAATGTTCCCTTTCAGGACAACCAGGGCCGTCACAATCTGTTGTTTGGCCACATAGTGATAATTTTGTCGTGGCTTTTAAAAACAGTAAACAAATCTACGAATGTCTAAAATTGTTTGTGGACGATCAGATTGACTCATAAACTGAGAAAGTAATCCAATGAAATTTGATTAAAACGCTTAACGAAAAGGGGAAGGGGGAAAACGTATACAAAATAGACAAATCGACGTTTCGGCCAGAGTTTTTCTGGACAACAATAATAAATGGCGAAGTACTCAAACAACAGACGAAATGAGGACGTCCCCTCAAAAATGAGGAGTAGGGAAGGGATATTCGAACTAATTTAACTAAGGGACCAAAATTTACATAATCGAGATCGCCAAGAGCTAGAGGCCCGACTTCAGCATAGGAAGATCATTAATACAATACACCGGTTTTGGTTTCTCTGTCTGGAGCAGTGGTCACACTTTTTGTGGGTCCCGAAAGCTGGATAGTGACCATGCCTGTATATAATGGCTGTAACCGCCCCTTACTCTTCCAATTGCCAACGAATTATGTACTTTCACTAGTTGTTGTTACTGTTGGCTAGTTACAAATACGTTTCAGGCATAGCCAGAATAACGCTCGCTGCATGCTTACGCCACTAGTGCAGCAACTATAACGTGTGAAAGCTACCTACTAGTGCTAAGATATTGGATGCGCACGCAAACTCTCAACAGCGAAGAGCCACGGAGGAAAATATAATGTGATACCCTCTCCAGTATGACCGTTACTGACTAACGCTTACACGTGCGAACTGACCACGTCCTGCCGTGGAAGCTGAGGAACTGTGGCCAAATTAAAGATTATAGTGGCCTGGAGACAACGCTGATGGGTTGGGGGGGGGGGGGGGGGGGGGCAGTTTCCCGTGGGATCGTAAGTTGAAGCACTGTCTCCCTAGCGGGCAACTCGTAACAGTCGACCAATTAGGCTTTTCCTTTTCGAATTCGGAGAGCCTGAGAGACAAAGAGCCAACAGTCTGCGACCAAATAAGTTAGATCTGTAAAACAGATGTGCAAGTAAAACTGGAGTTCTGGGACGATACCAAAGTCTAATAGGGACGACACAAGCAGAACTGTTTGCCGGAGTTTACAGCCGGTAAGTGCGAAGTAAAAGAAGTAAATAGGGCCCTCGACATTTTACTTCCAGTGTGTACGTGCTTTCTAACCGACACCTTGTCAAGCACACACATGCATGTTCTCCACAGCGGAGACAGGCGGGACGTGAGACCTGGAGCTCCGTCCGAGCCCAACCAGTACAATTTTAACTTCAAGAAACGTGGCATTTTCATTCTGATCAACAACAGACACTTTGAGGAGGAGACTGGCCAGCAGCCAAGGTGAGTGTCCGTCTGTCTTGTCTTTTCTGCTACCTATACATCCATCCATCTGTCGGCTCTGTGGCTAAGTCGATGCGAATGCTTCGTAATGCCGGGATGCCAGGTTCGATCCCAGCTGCGGGCCATGCGCCTTGCGTTGGTTTCGACAGTGGTATCAAGAAAGCCGACCGTCCGGAAAGCAATGGCAAACTACTGGATGTATATTGCCTAGAGAAACCACACAACAGCCAGGGACTGTTAGGGTTGGTTCTGCAACGTCCTGTAAAGGATACGCAACTAACTTTTTTATACATCCATCCATCTGTCGGCTCTGTGGCTAAGTCGATGC